TTATGTGAGAGTTTGTTCAAGAAGACTAAACAGCACGTCTATGGAAAAGTCAGCTGCCGGCCATCAGGGGTCACTCCCTGTGGCTTCAGGAGCAGGCAAGCCCTCTCCTGCATCCCTGCATTATTTTCACCTTAATTCCTGCATTATTTTCACCTTACACCTTTGTGTATTGAAGATATTCTGTTGCCCTGGTTCTAAGGATAATTTAGACCTCAAAACTTGAGCATATATCTGATGATGACCTGATTCAGCATTTTATCACTACAACTCAAGCTGACATAATGTCTGTTTGGATTTTAACATCTAGGAAAAGCTAAGAAAAGCACTTGGTTGGAAGCCCCTTGAAACGATCTAATTAGGCTAGAGTTGTGCTTTCTGCAAATGAAATGATGAGATCCTTCCAGAATTCCACAAACAGTTGTTTGAATCCTTATCTGATTGGCTTTCTGCTCATGCCAAGGGGAGTAATTTTCCTTGCGTAGAAATGAGTTGAAATTTAAATAAAAGTTACTTTAAAGGAAAATTAACAGGATGGGTACAATGGATTTATGAGCATTTAAAAATAATTTTAAATGTGTACACTTATGAAAAAGGAGATGCTTCACTTGTTCTTGGTAGATTGCCTTAGGACAGACATAAATGTTTGTGACTTTGATTCATACTTAGTTAGGTCTGACAAGAGATGTGTTTTAGGTCTCCCTGGGAACTACAACAAAATTTTAGTACTTTTTTTCAGGAAAAAGTCCTTAGCCTATGACATTCATTGGCTTCAGTGCCTGCCAACCTCTCTTTAGGCATAAGAACATCTCAGACCCAGAGCTGTTTGGGCAGCAGACAGTGAGCTCAGAACTGACCATGACGCACACGCCTCAGGAGGCAGGGGTCTGCCTCCCAACTGGGTGAGCAAGAGTTAAAACCAAGCCCTTCAGTCTTGTGACTGCAGTCTGTTCCCTGTGCTAGAAACCTAAGTGTGTGTGTGTGTCTGTGTGTGTGTGTGTGTGTGTGTACTCGTGTGCACATGCATTTCTTTCCAGGTATGTAATTTGTTTAAATTAATTTACTTTATGCTTTTGAAGGGTTTCCCTTGTAGCTCAGTTGGTAGAGAATCTGCCTGCAGTGCAGCAGACCCGGGTTCGATCCCCTGAAGAAGGAAATGGCAACCCACTCCAGTATCCTTGTCTGGAAAATCTCATGGACAGAGAAGCCTGGTGGGCTGCGGTCCATGGGGTCGCAAAGAGTTGGCCATGACTGAGCGACTAATATACACACACACACGCTTTTGAAAAATAGCAGGCTCTCAGTCATTAAAAAAAAAAGCAAAGCAAAGAAACCAGGTATATAAAGCAGGAAGGGGTTGGGGAAAAAAGGTGTGGATTTGAGTTGTTTTGGAAAATCCAGAGAAGCAAGGAGGGGACAGCTCCTGCAGACCCCCTGCCCTGCTCCTCAGCGTCTCAGAGCCTGGGGGCCTGCCGCTTCGCCCCGTGTAGCCGGGGAGTGGTTAGCAGCACTGTGCACGCTCAGTCGCTCAGTCGTGTCTGAGTCTTATGTACTCGTGTGCACATGCATTTCTTTCCAGGTATGTAATTTGTTTAAATTAATTTACTTTATGCTTTTGAAGGGTTTCCCTTGTAGCTCAGTTGTTAGAGAATCTGCCTGCAGTGCAGCAGACCCGGGTTCGATCCCCTGAAGAAGGAAATGGCAACCCACTCCAGTATCCTTGTCTGGAAAACCTCATGGACAGAGAAGCCTGGTGGGCTGCGGTCCATGGGGTCGCAAAGAGTTGGCCATGACTGAGCGACTAATACACACACACACGCTTTTGAAAAATAGCATGCTCTCAGTCATTAAAAAAAAAAAGAAAAGAAACCAGGTATATAAAGCAGGAAGAGGTTGGGGAAAAAAGGCGTGGATTTGAGTTGTTTTGGAAAAGCCAGAGAAGCAAGGAGGGGACAGCTCCTGCAGACCCCCTGCCCTGCTCCTCAGCATCTCAGAGCCTGGGGGCCTGCCGCTTCGCCCCGTGTAGCCGGGGAGTGGTTAGCAGCACTGTGCACGCTCAGTCGCTCAGTCGTGTCTGAGTCTTTGCGACCCCAGGGACTGTAGCCCACCAGGCTCCTCTGTCCATGGCAGTCTCCAGGCAAGAATGCCGCAGTGGGTTGCATGCCCTCCTCGTCCTCGTTGTACTGCTCGCTGTCCCTGCTACAGCTGGAGCCAGCGTTGCCGCCGCCGCCTCCCTCCTCCTCATCCTGCACCAGCGCCCCCTACTGGCAGAACCTAACCGGGCCCTGCTGGCCCAGGATTCTGAGAATGGTAGTTTGCACTCCCCCAGCAGGGGATGAGAAGGTCGGATGGTATCAGTGACTCCATAGACAGGAGTCTGAGCAAGCTCTGGGAGTTGGTGATGGACGCGGAAGCCTGGCGTGCTGCAGTCCTTGGGGTCACAAAGAGTCGGACGCGACTGAACTGAACATCTGTAATACAGAGCAAAGCATAGAAGATGCTCCATATATGGTCCAGATGGTATCATAGTGCTTTACAAACTAAGTTATCATACACATTAACCACTTAAACTTTTAAATTAATTTTATTGTCATAGGAAATATGGGAAAAACTTTTTTGATAGCTCCTCTTATGTGAGAGTTAAAAATGTCATCAATGTTATATTAAAGAATTTTTTTGTGTATTTAATAAGTGTTTAGAGGCATCTTAATTCACACAATTCAAAAGGAGCTAAATATGTTCATTAAAAGGACTGGAGAAACATTCCTATACCTACGGCTAATCCAGGTGTCTGAAGCTCAACTGGAGGAAGCAGCTTCTACCGTTGGGGAGTTTACATTTGACATTGACTGATATCAGCATATTTTCTGAGTCAGAATGTTTTCTCTGGCAGTTAAATCTCCTATTTGATTTCTGAGATTTTACATACTTTAATTCTAGCTGAGTTCTTTACATGCTTAATTTCAATGAGAAATTATTTCAGATGAATAATCTCCTGCAAGTTTACTTAAAATGAAATTGTTGTGCCTTAAAAAACTAGCATCTATATTAATGATAAATCCCTTTTAAGTTACAACTACTATCCATAGATGTGTATCTTCTTACTTCTTTGGGGCTTCCCTGGAGACTCAGATAGTAAAGAATCTGCCTGCAATGCAGGAGACCCGAGTTCAATTCCTGAGTCGGAATATCCCCTGGAAAGGGAATGGCAACCCACTCCAGTATTCTTGCCTGGAGAATCCCATGGACAGAGGATCCTGGTGGGCTATAGTCCACTGGGTCACAAAGAGTCAGACATGAGAATCTTACTTTTTTAGTCTTCATCAATCTTTTCGGTAGCTCTATGAAGTGGGCCAGCTACTACTGCCCCGAGTCTTCTTTTTTCCAGCTTCTTTTTTTCCAGCCAAACTTAACTGGTTTAAGTGGTTAAAGTGCTATGATAACTTAGTTTGTAAAGCACTATGATGCCACCTGGATCACACATTGAACATCTTCTATGCTTTGTTCTGTATTTCAGAGGTTGAAGGAGTGCAAGCTACAATTCTCAGCTTCCAGCTTCTTTTTTCCAGCTTTTTTCCCAGCTATATTGGTCAACAGGTCATATATTAGCTGTGGGACCAAGACAAGAATTCAGGTTCTATAAATAAATATTGCAGCTTGCTTAGGAATGTGTATCTATAAGACCACTCACAATTCTTATCCCAATAACATTAATTTTCGTGTTACACTACAGTCTAGAGCAATGCTCTTCGTGTTGGGGCAAGCATGCCATTTGGAGGTGTGCAGAGATGGTTATGTGGTGGGGGGTCTGGATTCTTCAAAAGCAATCAGCTTTCAGAGCCTCAGCTCACACATGTCCAGAATGGTGTCGAGGATATATAGTCATTGAGGATACAGGTCTTTTCTTAACGTCCTCCCCCTTTGCAAAAGGACTTCTACCTCTGTCCCATCTTACTGTGAGGTACTGACCTGGAGTTTTAAAACCTGTGAGGAGCCAGTGGGACAATTTGGAATACTGGTAAGGAAGTAACTAGGAAAGAAAGCAAATGACCTGAATGATTTGATTGAACACCTTTTTATGAGCTTGGTGGTTCCCGTTTCTTTTCTGACAACAAGACTGTGGGAGTCTTAAATGGCATGTTGGTTGATAGAAAAGTTAAACATGAGCTTATTGATGGATTGTTCTGTGAATCTTGGCATTGAGAAAGAAGCAATAGAACCGGGTAACAATCCTGTAACAAAACTCTCTCTGTTCCCATTACTTTATTTATACAGATAAGTTTTCTTGGCATATAAGCTTATAAAAATGAAAAATCAGGAATAGAATTGATGTTGAGCCCTAACTCATTCTAGTAATAAACAATCTTCAACCACAGATTACATGAGCTAGCTGGAAAGCCCCGAGTTTTCTTAACCTTATTCTAGAAACGGGGAGGTGCATTTCCAATAAAATTTTACTCCAGATAGTACTTGTTTTTAAAGATTCATCTTTTCTTATGTTCTTATATCATGTTCTAAAAGTAACTAGAATATAACACAATCAGAAAGGATTCTAATATTTAGAAACATTGTCTCAGGATAAAAGTTAATTAAATGTCAATTTATATACATAACACAATATTTTCTACATAAAATATTAGGATATATCCATGTGTGAATGAAACTAAGAATTCAAAGAGGAGAAAGACTGGGGTCAAATTTGAGACTATTGCAGAACTTGTTTTCACTGGATTACGGTAGTTGTCACATGGCGACGGTACTCTACTGGATACAGTTGGGAGAATGATTTTAAAACGTCAGCATTTATAGTGTACTGAAAACTACATCGATGGCAGATAGTGAAACTGATAAAGAAGATACAAGTCACTGTAAAAGCACCTATGTGATACACTTAAGAGTTTTTAAGGATCGTGCGAGCAAAAATGTTTAAGGCTACAAAAGATCAGGTGTCTTGAGGAGGAGCATTGCCACGGGTCTCTCATGGGGTTTCTTTATCTTCCCAGTTTGACCTCGTGTGTGTCAATGCTTGGATGCTGGATCTCACACAAGCCATCCTGAACCTGGGCTTCCTGGCCGGGGCGTTCACCTTGGGCTATGCAGCGGACAGGTAGGCATGGGTAAGACAGCTGCTTCACGTCTAGAAGATGATGTGTACCTGTGCAGAGGGAGATGTTTCGTGTTGACTATTAGGAAGCTATGATTTCTACATTTGGAAAAGTCTTCATGCCCCCACTCATGATGCTGAACACCTATTTAGTTGGACTCATTCTTTCTTTCTTCTTAAACTGCATCTCCTTACCCCATGAACTGTACAACCCACTGGGGCCGCTCCGCTTGGGTCTGAAGACATCTGAGAGCAAACATAGACCAGCAAGGCAGTGACTTCGTGTCTGGGCCGAGGGCTGGCTTGGCTGGACGCTCTGGAGATGATTCCACGTGCTTCAGTAACTCCCTAGTTGTGGTTTGATTTGATTTAGTCCTAAAGTCAGCCCCTTACAAATTTGTTTCATTCAATTAAAAAGAAAATTGTATTTCATTCTACCAGTCAAAAACTTTGCAAAAAGAGTTTTCCAAAAAACCATGGCCCATCATAGGTACCTCTTATACTTATGGAAATATTATTATATATCCAGGGCATTTCTAATCTAAAGTTTGAAAATGGTGCAGCTTAAATGAAAAGCCAATGCATACACCAATGGCGGATACCTGGATGTTCAACACGCAGGACTCTGTCTTCCTTGTCCCTGCCTCCCTTTCTGACCTGAGTATTCTTGCCTGGGAAATCCCATGGACAGAGGAGCCTGGCGGGCTACTGTCCGCAGGGTCACAAAAGAGTCAGACACAATTTAGCAACTAAACAACAACATATCTGTGGGAGGACAGTAGGAAAGGCAGAGAGTGAATTTAAAACCCTAGGTAAACCGAGACCACTTCTGTCTCTACTGTGAAACAAGAAACTGTGTGAACTGGATGGAAATTGCTATGGAAATTCACCCGCAGTTGCATGACTGGTATATGGTTGAGCCAAGATTGAAGGCCAGGCCTTTTGGCTGTCATGACCATTTCGGCTACTTTCTGTGCCTCTCTCCTTCCGGAGAAATCCTAGAAAGTGTCCAAGCTGCCACCAGGGTGGTCGTATGCAAGAAAATGCTGTGGATGAGGACCTGGAGAGATGGAGAAGCTCATCTCCTTGGAAACTGCAGTCCCAAAGGATGCCTTCTGTGCTTTAAACTCCATAATGTCATTTCAGAGGCATATGTTTTTACTTGCCCTGGTTTTGCTATAAAACAAAACGTAGCACTTTCCGTAACCCTTGACGTGGTGATCAGGAACTTCTAGGGGACGAAAGTTCTGCGCTTGCAGTTCTTTTAACAACACTTACAATGATCGTCTTCTCATGGTGTTGAAAAAAACGTTTAAGGTAATCTCTTCCTCTCTGATTCTCAAAAAGGTATGGCCGAATAGTCATTTACTTGCTATCGTGTTTTGGTGTTGGTGTCACCGGCGTCGTGGTGGCGTTTGCCCCCAATTTCCCCGTGTTTGTGATCTTCCGCTTCCTACAAGGCGTGTTTGGAAAGGGGACATGGATGACCTGCTATGTGATCGGTAAGACCTGGCTTCCTCTCCTTGTCTGTTTGAGAACCAGGGTTTGGGTGGGGAGAAGTGCCACTGCTTGGCCTTCCTCCGGCAAGTCTGGTGACGCTTCACTCCTTCTGCCGTGGTCACTCCCACAACATAGGAGGGTGAGGGACAAGCCGCTGAGTCTTTAGAAGTTAAAATTCCCACCACTGTGTTTGGTATATATTACGTATATATTTGAAAACCAATTAGGGAACATCACAAAAAACTGGGGCAAACCGTTTTCTAGCACTTGCTAGCCATACTGCAGTCACATGCTTTCTTGCTTTGCTTTCTTTTTTCTTTTTTCCATGTATCTTTGGTTGCACTGGGTCTGCGTGGCTATGCCTGGGCCACTCGGAGTTGCGGTGCACAGCCTTCTGTTCACGGCGGCTTCTCTTGTTGCAGAGGGTGGGCTCCGGGGAGCTTGGGCTTCAGTATTTGCAGCACATGGACTCACAGCTCGTGGGTTGCAAAGCGCAGGCTCGGAAGTTGTGCACACGGACTTAGTTGCTCCATGGCATGGGGGATCTTTCCAGACCAGGGATCGAACCGGTGTCCCCTGCGTTGGCAGGCAGATTCTTAACCACTGGACAACCAGGGAAGCCTTTGCTTTGCTTTCTCAGAGATGAATTTTTATAAAAATTTCAGTAGTTCCTTGAAACATTTTAAAAGCATTTTCCATGTATTTCTAGGATACCATGTGAGCTAACATTGCTGTGCTCTCAAATATTATCCCTTCGATTCTATTCCTTCCACACAAGTGGAGCACTTTTTACCACGCAGGAGATATGACCTGAACACGGGGGCTTCACTTGTAAACCTTTGCTATCTTCTATACCCAGAAAGATGGGCTTCTGACTGTAAAGCGAAGAAAAACTTCTCTTCGCTCCTTGCGTCTGTTACTGGAGAAGGTCCTGGCTGTTCTCTTTCCAGTCGTGTCTGGGATGGGCACCTTCTCAGAGTCACGGTGGATTTGTGACCAAGGAAACGCGAAACCTTTTCTTGGATTATCACTCCAGACCTGTGTGCTTCCACTCTCTCCTGTTACTGCCAGACGATCCCTCTTTGGGGTGCCCACTTTGGGGATCTTTCAGATCTTTTTAGTGGTGGGGAAGCAGAGAGCTGGGGGCCCTAATGGTTGATGGCTGGCGTAGGCGGGGTAACTTCTCTGAAGTGTTTTTAAGGAGACATCAGTCTCGGTGAGTTTTCCTGGCTGTGCCCTTAGACCAGCAGTAAGGGAGCATACCCCAGGATGATCGGAATGGAATTAGGGGCAGATAGAAACCAATAGATTCCACGCGGTGCAAAACAGGTGCTGCAGGAGACTCGGATTCGATCCCTGGGTCGGGAAGACCCCCTGGGGAAGGATATAGCAACCCACTTCAGTATTCTTGCCTGGGAAATCCCATGCACCGAGGAGCCTGTCCGTGAGGGTGCAAAAGAGCCAGACACAACTGAGTGACTGAACATGCACCGGGTTTGACCAGAGGGCTTGGGAGCACAGTGAACTTACAGTGTCCTAGTGATGCTGATGGATGGACGTGACAGGTGTGATGTCTGTCTTTCTGTGTTTGTTTAGAGCTGATACTGAGCTTCTCTAACCTCTGTGTTTGTTTTCCCTCAGTGACTGAAATAGTAGGTTCAAAGCAAAGAAGGATTGTGGGAATAGTGATTCAAATGTTCTTCACCCTTGGAATCATAATTCTTCCTGGAATTGCCTACTTTATCCCCAGTTGGCAAGGGATCCAGCTAGCCATCACACTACCGAACTTTCTCTTCCTCCTTTATTACTGGTAATTTGATTTTGGTCATTATCACATTTATTCTTGCTCAACAGACACATAGAATGTATGCTGCTAAACAAACATGGACATGAAGGCGATTACGGAGATGTCTAACATCTCCAGAATGGCTATGGGCTTTGAGAATTTCTAGAGAATTTTCAGAGGTTATTTATTGATTGATTTTTGACTAATTCTTATTATTAAATTATAAAATTCCAAACACATTTAAAATAGAGTATTAATTATGTTTTATTATTTTGTAACATTTTTATGAAAACCACAAGGCAACAGACTGTGCCTCCCAGTATCTCAACATGCAATTTAAATGCAGTGAACATGATTGCTTCTCTGTATATTTTACTAAGCAAATTAATGTTACTCAGGAATTCTCAGGGGAATAAGAAAATGTTAAGAACCTCAGAAAATTAAATTATCAGAAAATTATGGGTGTAGGCATTTGATTCTTGTTAGAGTGAACATATTTTAATTATTCCTCTAATTTAATTTTAATATATGAGCAAATCAGTTTACATGAATTAGGTTCCTAACCTTTCCTAAATGCTCATTAAATCCCAGTTCTTTTCTTCTATGTAATTGAGGACATGTATTCTAATATAGCCTTCTTGCAAGAGCAGTGTAATATTGATTTATTTTGTCATGAGCAATGATTCAGTTGTCAAGTGAGCATTTTTTCCCTTTCAGTATAAGCTTGCAAAGGTAATCTACATTTCAGAGAGCTAATTCCAAGCTCTCAGAATCTTCTAAATGTGTATCTAATTGTAAGATCCATTTTGAATGAAACTCAAGTCATAAATTTTTGAAATTCACAAGCATAACTCAAAAAAGACTTCTTCTCATTAGGGTTGTTCCTGAATCTCCACGCTGGCTGATTACTCGGAAGAAAGGAGATAAAGCCTTAAAAATTCTGAGGAGCATTGCCAAATGCAATGGGAAATACCTCTCACCAAATTACTCAGAGGTAATTTTACATATTACTGGTAACAAGTATTGTTAAAGTGCGTGAATTTTAATTTCCCATGCACATATTATCAAACATCTGACTAATCATTGATAGTTTGACTTAAAAAAAAAAAACTTGGGAAGAACCATAGAAGTAATTGCAAAATAGTAATAGCATTATAGCTGAAGTGAATTGGTCATTTAGTCCGTATTTCATTAGTTGTACCAAATTACTAGATCTGATAGTAATTAACCATTCATTCACCTTACTCACACAAACTATAAATCTTTTCTTAACATTCAATTTTAGTCTAAAGTTTTGTTTTTAAATTTAGTCTTGCAAATATTATCTATGTCAAGCAGAGCTTGGACAAAGATGTCATGTTTCAGCCTTTAGACTTACACATGCTAGACAGTCTGCCCTCCCTCCCATCTTTCTTTTTATCCTTCCATCATTCCTTCCTCCAGCAAAGGTGTTTTGGATGCCTCTGTATCACTGCACTGAGAGAAAAGAGGGGTGATGGAGTAAAAGCTCATTCTTGGAAGATTCTCAATATGCTGTTGAGATATATATACATACACATATATTTGAAGCAATGCCTGAATAATTAGAGAGTAGCATCTAAAAAAAAGACAGAATTTTGCTTTAGCTGCAAAAACTAAGTGAATGCACCATAACAGAAGGATTACTATAAGAGAATATTTAAGAAGAATTTTCAATATTACTCTTATTAATGTTGTTTTCTTTTGTAGCATTCAGTTTGTTTAGTTAGAAAAGTTCTGATAAAAATAGGTTTTGTGGGTTTTATTGTCAACTCCCTAGCTTCATAGCTCCCTAGAGCCTGGTCAGGTGCATTTGGATTTCTGCCTCCTTTCACTCTTACATTAAGTGGGCTCTGTGATTTACAAAGGTTTCAGCGGACCAGTTGTCACTGTTGGAAGCAGGTTCATGATGAATTGGGTTGGCCAAAAAGTTCACCTTACAGACAAACCCCAGTGAACTTCTTGGCCAACCCAATACCTTGAGGTTTGTTGTTTAGCTGCTGTCGTGTCAGGCTCTTTGAGACCTCATGGACTGTAACCCACCAGGCTCCTATGTCCATGGGATTTTCCAAGCAACAGTACTGGAGTGGTTGCCATTTCCTTCTCCAGGGGATCTTCCTGACCCAGGGATCCACCTTGTGTCTCCTGCATGGCAGATGGGTCCTCTACCTCTGAGACACCTGAGATGCTCACCTTGAGGTTTAAAGATCGTAAAATAAATGGTAAAGAGAAAACATGTCTGTTGACCATGAAGACTAGTCGATCCCTGTCATTGTTTGAGCACATTGAGCTGTGCTTTTAGGGGAAAAGGCATCCCCCTGCCTCTCAATTTGTAGTGGTCAAGCACGTTGTCAGGCTCCACAGCTGGATCAAATGTATGATACTTTGTACTCAGTTTTAACGGCCAAATGAGTATTTTTTCTATTCATCCAATGAGTACCTTGAAGGTATTGCACATGAAATCCCAGAGTGTAAGATCTAAATCAAGGTTTTAAGAGTGTAGAAAAATATTATGTCCCAATGGCTTATGAAGGGATGCCGCATTAACCAGTCTCGTCACGTGTTATCATGAGTCTTTCTGAGAGGCCCGAGGATGGTTTACAAGAACAGCTGCTGTTCCACATCCTATGAGTGTCCAGCCCAATGCCCACTGACTCGCTTTGAGTTCATGAGCAGGATGGCAACCATTTCAGCAGGGAGATACTTAAACACAGTACATGATTGTGATTGTGAAAGATTATAAACTGTGGGTTTGGTGACTTCCAAGACACTGGAACTCTAGTTTTTACAGTTAGATGATTTCCATTTAAAAGTAAATTTTGAATTAAACTTCAGTTTCTCTGGAGAATTTGCTCCAGCATCCTGGCTACAAATGTAGGCTTAGGATACTAGTTACTGATCATTCTGGTTGATAAGCCTCTTTGGTCTTTTTAATCTGTAGGTTCACTTTTGCTTTTCCAGAAACTTTGGGGGTGGAGAATGCTAGGGTTGAGATCTTAGTTTCCAGACCAGAGACTGAACCCAAGTCCACTGCCTTGGAAGGCAGATTCTTAACCACTGGACCACTAGGGAAGTCACTTGTTCTTTTCACATTGCCGAGTTGGTTGCCTATATTCTCAAAGAGTAATCAATGCATTGTGGATTATGGTTTTTTTTTAAAGCCTGCTTATGATTCCTGGATTTATACATACTGTGTATGTTTCAGTCTTTTGTTTTTGTTGTTAGCTTATTGATGCTCAAATCACCCCTGTCTTTGGACAGATAAGGTTCATCTTCCTTGATTTCTGAGTCTGTCTGCCACACCTTTAGTAGTTTCTGAAAGCTTCCTTGCTCATTAGCATGATGAGATTTTCCAAACTTGTCTTGTAATCTCCAGTCTCATGCTTGTAATCACCCGCTTGTCAAAGGGGGCTTCAATTTCTTAAACAAATGTCTTCAAACTGATCCTGTCCATCTCCAACCTTTAAAAATTTTACAACATAAGCCAAAAGGCAAAGTATTATCCTTAAAAAGAAAAAGAATTTTACATTTCAGTTTAAAATACCTTACTATAGCTGAATTCAGTCAAATTATAGGCCAAACCATCATTGTTTTTTTTAATTTCAAAGATCTTAATGTTTCCACAAAGCATGATAATACGCAAAATGTCTCTTTCATTACTCAAAAATACTGGATAATAGTGCAGACATTTGATTTGAACTCCAACACCAGCATCAAAGCAGGATCCCATTATATTTTCTGAGTGGGAGAGAGTGCTGTCAGTTCCTCACATTTTGGTGACTCAGATGATTGTCACCCATGTCAATGTTAGGGTCACCTTGAAACCTTATGTTCACATAATCACTTCACACCTTCAGAAACATTTCATTGCTTTAGCTGGTATCCGTGCTCTCTGGATAAAATACCATCAAGGCGCCCATGCCCACTTTTCACAGAACCTCTCTTCTTCGGTAAATCCTGACTTTTGGAAGGAGTTATTACCGTGTAAGTGACCCTATCCTCCAAGACCTGTCCAGTTCCCACCTCATCCTAGGGGTGGACATTCTAGGTCGCAGTGAAGCTAGAATGAATTAGAAAGAATCTTCTGGGATGCAAAGCTAGCAGCTGTACCTTCCTGTCCTCACAAGACCCTCAGCGACCTCCCAACCCTGGCCTGTTCCATCCCTGGCACCTGGTCTATTTTAGGCTTGAGAAGCAGAAGTGGGAGGGGACCAATTCAGAGCAGAACCTATAAAGGCATCGTGAGTTTCTGACCTCTCTCTTGCCTTTCCATCTGCTGCAAGACCAGCACATCCCAAACTGGAGCTGCTCCTTCAGCGTGGGTCCAGAATGAGAAGAGCTATAAGGTGGAACAGCTGACCTAGGGCCGAGATATGGAATGTGGCCAAGAGATCATTGTTTCCTCAGTAAAAACTGTTGTCGGCTAAATGTGTCTCAGCATGCTACAGAAATTTGAGGGTGTTTGTTTCTGCCATCAAAGCTAACTAATGTAGCTGATCATAACAGTACTGGTTCAACTGCCAGAGTGGAGTTTGGTGATTCAACACATTTTTGGCTATCAAGATGACACTGGATTATAGTCGATTAGATTGCTGTTTGACATAGTAACATCTTCCCCCTCATTTCCAGCGAATGAAAGTACTTCCTGGCTGCACTGATGGTGGACACAGCAATGTAACCTGCTTTGGTCTCAGATGGGTGGGGTGTATAGCCTGTGCTTCGATTTTGGGGCTTGGTCGTTCAGGTTGCTTTGGTCAATGCTAGGTGACCAGATGTGATGCGGTAGAGTCAGGAAGCATGCTTGCGCGCTTGGACTTTGTCTCTGGGCTTCAGCCATCACTGTGAGAAGAATATTCCAGGCTCTCCTTCTGAGCATGCAGAAGACTAAGGGACATTGGGAGGAAAGCTGCTCTAGCAAAGTCTCCTGAAACCGGGATCAGCAGTCTCCCAGGCAGCCCACAGATGGATGAGCTCAGTGAATGCCTATTGTCTTATACCATGACGCCTGTTGGACAGCATCATCTATCAATAGTCAACAGGCACCCTGATGAAATAGCCATTGACACCTACTGACCTGGATTATACAACGACATCAGTAGTAACTCTGGCAGCAGTTTTAGTTTCTTTTTTTTTTTTAAGGATTAAAAAAAAAAATCCTTTTCCTAAAGATCCCTCTCTTCCCCCCTCCTCCTCTTGTTTCTTAGTGGGTTATGCTCATGGAAAATAGTAGGTTACAACTCTAGTTAACAAAGAGCTAATACCACAGAACTGAATGTGTCCGAATTTGTTGGCAATATTGTCATGCCCCTACTGACTCAAAAAGCTGTAAGGCTTGATTGTAATGTCCTTATTTTTATGATGTGCTTATATTCATTGCTCATAGCTAATCACAGCTTGTTGAGATGTAAGTATCAGATGTTACACTGATGCTCATCCTTGCAGAAACACTCTCATGGGCAGTTCCCATGGTGACATGTTTGGGTAACATTAAAAACTGACACTTGAGCTTTCTGACCCCAAAGGGACCATCATCGGTGTAAACAATCCCCCTCTGATATATTTCCAAAGTGGAATTTATTAAAACCTCATTAAAAAGGGTCAGGCTAATTTTTCAATTACCTTGGTTACCAGAGAGACTTCCAACTCTTAATAGCTGCCATATTGCCTACATTTTAATGAACCGTCACAGAAGCATCAATATTGCTGCAGAGAGGGACTTTCCAGCTTTGGGAATGTCTGTTTCTGACATTTCCTTTCAAAAGGGGGTTTTTATAAATGTAATTTTGGTTTTTCCAAAAGAGGAACCACACCATGATTCCAGCTGTCATGAAGCCCATGTGAGCTCTTTGACTTCATACAAAATAAATGATTCCATTCTACCAGCAAAGCTGTCATCCTTAACATGACACATTAAAATGATTACTGTAGTCATATATAGTGGAACTATAAGTAACTTTGTTCTGTAACCTTGTTCTC